CTACTAACCCGCATTCCTGGACTACTAATCTTCACTACAAGTCTGTATTCTTACGTTAATACACTTATTTTTCTATCTCAATTTCTGGCGTTGTTTATTTATTTGTGCAGGATTCCATTCCCGGAATCCACAACAATATATATATGATAAACGTTGCAACTTTTTACGCCCACCTAATATGTTATCGCTAATAAATTAAAGAGTTGCCTTTCTCGTTGTCGTCAAATATAATTTAACAAAAATAAAAGAAAGTCGTGTCTCTCGGATAGTACAATTTTGATATTTTTTCTGTAAGTAAACCTCGTTAGTATATGTTTTGTTTTGCCTGTAAACATAAAATATAACGTCAAAATTGAATGTACTTACTGGTCCGAATAACGCGAGAAGATGCCATTTTGCCAAGAAATCTCATACAAAATGGCTGACTTATATACGTTACACTACCTGCACGTCCAAGTACTACTAAAATATTTTTTCTAAATGTTCACCCAATACAAGCTCAGAGAACCACTCACGGTAGAGTATTAATGAATGAGGTTCTTGTTTGAACGTAAGTGCATATTATGAAGATTTCACTTCTCCAGTCTTTCGATAGTTCCTTAGTTCACATGATCGTTACAGCTTTTGCTAATGCCTCATAAATAATGAATTATTTCGTTTTAATTGTGTGAGAAGGTAAAAGACATGTCAGAGACGCTACTAGGTTTCAATGAAAGAAAGAAAGAAAGGTGTTTTTAACGTCTCCTGCTTATACCTCACAAATAATTAACTACACCGTTTTGATCGCATGAAATGACAATTCAGAGACACTACTTGGTTTCAATGAAAGAAAGAAAGGTCTTTTTAATGTCTCCTGCTTATACCGCACAAATAATTAACTACAACGTTTTGATCGCGTGAAATGACAATTCAGAGACACTACTTGGTTTCAATGAAAGAAAGAAAGAAAGAACAAAATTTTACGTCTCCAGCTAATACTTCAGAAATAATGAACTGTTCTGTTTTGAGTACGTCAGAAGACAAACGACATATGGGAGACGCTACTTGTTTGCCTAAAAAAATGAAAGAAAGAAGTATTTAGCGTCTCTTGTTAAAACGTCATAAATAATGGACTATTCTGTTTTGATCGCCTGGAAAACAAAGGACCTATCGGAGACGCTACTTGGTTTCACTGAAAGAAAAAGAGATAGAAGCATTTAACATCTCCTTCTAACATCTCATAAATATTCCGTTTTGATTGCGTGAGAAAAGAAAAGACATATCAGAGACACTGCTTGGTTTTAGTGAGAAAATAAAAGAAAAAAAAAGGAAAATAGACGTGTTTAACGTCTGTTTCAGTGAAATGAAAAAAGTTGTTAATTTCATTTTTTTTTTCAATTATAACTCTTTCTTAAAATAACGATCGACATTCATATTTATTATTGTTGTTGCAATATTTTGCTAAAATTGTTAAGCTCAAATATTTAACAATGCGATAGGGAATTTTCAATGGATAATTCACTGTCGTAGAACTTGTCATAAGCTTATTCACATGAACTGAAGAATTAAGATTCATCAGAAATTTAAAGCAGAAAAACCGTGAAAAGTTCACGGGTTAAATCTAGTTATTATTAAAGACGAAAGAGGAGATACTGAATTGTAAAAGGAGTGGTAATGTTCGTCTCATGCCTTTTAGTTATTACGTGCTATTGCGAAAGTTAAAATGAATTTTGCAATCTCGGTCCCCAGAGTTATTTAACCTCTACAGTGACGCCATCCTAAAGGTCTAATTAAATTAGAAATGTCAGTGAGTAATTTCCCACTTTTAACCCACTGAACTAGGCATTTTTGGAATTTAGCCTCAATAGATATTATAGAATCAAATTTATCTATTGGGCCTAACTAGACAAATTCAGACGAATCCCCAAGAATGGTCATCATCTTAACATAATCTTGATAATCAAGAATAACAACAGCAGAGCCTTTATCAGGTTTCGTAATCACCAAGGATTTATTATGACGAAGGGATTTAATTACCTGATATTGTTCTCTGTTCCACGTTGATTCACTAAGGGAAACAGGGATACATGCGTTGGAATGTGCTATAGTACTTAAATTTGCTTTAAGGTCACTGACCTTGCTAACAGATTCAGGCTGAAGCTTGGCTTGCTGAGCAAACAAAACCTCAAACTCTGAATAAATTTCTTCTTGCTTAATATGCAAGGGACAAACACAAAAATCTAATCCATACGAGAGGATCGATAGTTTTGGCGCGAACAATTGTTATGAAGAAAGATTCAGAACATTCTAACCAATAACAGGATTAGCAGAACATGCATTTTTTTTTTTTAAATTAAATGCTGCAACTTATTCTGATGTTTAGTCGCAAGTCGAGAACGACTGCGCCCATGAATAATGGCAGCATAACAGACGAAACGAATCCTATCGAAATATTAGGGAAATTTAAAAAACAAATCTTCACTTCTTTTCGTAAGTTAAAAGTGGGGGGGTCATGCGGTCAGAATTAAAAATATACTTATGGGTATGTCTAGATTAACCAATGAACGTCACGTCTACGCTAACATATAAAAATATGGTCAGAGGGTATGTTATTATTAAATGTTATGAAGATCGATGCTTAGACATGCCATTCAACGATACTAACGAACAATTACCGCGACAAATGTAATATTAGTGTATCCAAGTACGATTTGGTGATTTGTTGAAGTAGATATAAATTTATCAGCAACGGATTTTTTTTAATTTAAAAAAAAATATACCCAGGAAACTTCTTAAAAGGGTCTATAGGTAAAATTAAGAATATGTAAGCAACTATATAAGTTGTTAATTATACTGAATAGACGGTAAAACATGGCAATATTATAGTTGAATAAATCAAATAAATATTGCGTGAGAATTTATATATTAATAAAATAATGGCTATACAATTATAATACATAACTATTAATGAAAATTTTTAAAACTATATTTTAATGTGTTAAAAGCTACTAAAACACAAGGGGTGACCGGATGCGGAAACATTTAATAATGAGCGGGAAGAGGTAAAAGTAATCAGTGGGACAGTACTTAGCGAGATTGATATTGCATTTGAATTTTTGAAGCTGAAAATTGGCTGGAAAGCATGGAGCCGGAAAGGAGTTCCCCAAGCGAGAAATGCAAGAAAAGAAACATTTAACATAGAACTTACGGCTCCATCTCGCCAGCTCAACTATAAATTGATGAGATCTCGACGCCAGTCTAATATTTCACTTAAATTTAAAAAGTCTAGATACCATAGCGAAGATCTGATTCGAAAAATTACCATGAAAGTATTTATAGAAAAGACATTGAAGCCGAGCCTCCAGATCAAGGACACTAATATTGCTGATTCTTCTTTGGATTTTATCAAGGAGCTCAAGGTAAATAACAGAAACACCGGATCATATGGGCCAACAATATTCTAAGCATGGACGATTGGTAGACTTATAGATATGTAAGATAGATTCTGGAGAGAAAAATTGTCTTGCTCGACACAGTGAACCAAAAGTCTTAGATATGTGCGTGTGTGCGTGTACGTGTACGCGTGCGTGTGCGTGTGTGTAATTTATATTAATAATGGATATATATATATTTCCTCATCGGTAGCACAACTCAATGCAATCGTCAGGTACCGATTGAAAATTGATTATATATATATATTAAAATTTTAAACTTAATAGTGATTAAATTTGGATTTTAAAATTGGTAATTTTTACTTTTAATTTTAATATCAAATTTTATCATATAATTTACTATTTATTGATTAGAATAAATTCTTTTTTTTAATATTATCCCTATTTTAAAGATCTGAATAGCTATTATAACATGACTTCGTTGTCAAGCTTTTTGAATTTTCCTATACTTGTATTTTGATTGGTCATTCTAGCTTTTGTAACAATGTTT